GGACCAACTACTGATTTTGCCCCAGATCCCTAAATGGCCCCCTCAAGGATTGAACTCACAACCCTGGGTTTAGCAGGCCAATGCTCAAACCACTGAGCTATTCCTCCCCCCCCCCAACCTAGTATCATAAATAGGGATCACTCCATGGGTACAGTCTCACATCAGGCCCTTCAAGGCTTCATCTTAAAGATATGGGGCCACTCTCTGAAACCCATGAAGGATCAAGTGAAGGTTCCAGCACAGGTGATCAACACCTTTAAAATGGTGGTCAGCCTCTATGCCTTCCAGATTGTCACAACTGTCACCAGCCTGGAGGGCTGGAAAGCTCACTGGGGGTCCAAAACAGGCATCTGATAGCTGGCGGAAAGGACTGACAGCATAAACCATCTAGAACTAAGAGCAGCCAAGCTGTTACTACAAAGGTTCCAGTCCAGGCTAGAGGGGAATCGCGTTCTGATTCAGTCAGACAATATGACCATGGTTGCATATGTGAACAGCCAAGAGGAAAAAGAAGCCCAGCGCTATACAGCTAAGTGATGGAAATCATGCACTGGATGGATAGTACATTCTCATGTATCCCTCAGGGCAGCTCCTACTGATCTTGCTCCGATTGATCAAGATGAATAACTGAGTGTTGCCTGCATCAGGAAGGCTTTTAAGTTAATCATCCAGTTATTCGGCTTGCCCTCAACCAATCTATTCATGAATCACTTGAACGTGGAGAGACCACAGTACTTCAGCAGGGAGGTGGACCCCGAATCCAAGGGGGGACAGATGCACTATCACACTGATGTCCTCAGGGCCTCCTCTGTGTGTTTACAATCTTCCTATCATTAGGGAAGGTAGTCCAGAAAATAAAATGAACAGGTGACGATAATATTGGTAACCCCACATTGGCCAAGGAGAGCCTGGGTTTTGGACATAATTGAGCTGAAATAGGACCTCCAGTACCGCTCCCAAAGAGACAGGACATCCTCTTACATGGTCCTCTTCTTCATCTGGATCAGAACCATCTGACAGCCTGGCTGTTAAAAGGGAAGTGCTAGTGTTGTTGGGTCTGGCCTCCAAAGTCATCAGAATGCATTCTAGAAGAGTATTGACCTTGAATGCATACTCCTCTGTTTGGACCAAGTTCTGTGCTGGTGCCAGGAACATGAAGCAAATAGCCAGAATTCCTTGATTTCTGCGATCTTGAAATTTCTCCAAGAAGGCTTGGACAGAGGTCCCCAACCTAGCACCATTGCATATCAGGTGTCTGCCCTTTGTAGCATGATGGTCACAGGATCCATGAGTTCTTTGGCAGAATACCCCTCTCCCTTCCCCCCACATAGCCTGATTCCTTAGAGCAGTCTGATTAGTCAAACCAGCAATCAGGCCTCTCTTTCCCAAGTGGGACTGCCATTTGTACCGAGAGCCCTGATGAACCACCTCTTTTTGAACCATTCACATCAGTGTCTTGCTTTCTGATTGCCATCACATCTGCCAGGTGAGTTTTGGAGCTGTCAGTGCTTCCTATGCAGGAGCTTTTCTGTGTGTTTCATTAGGACAAGGTGGTGCTCAGAACTCCAGAATTGTATATCCCAGAGGTGAACTCTTTCCTCCATGCTTCCCCAGAGGTCGGTCTCCCTTTTTTCTGTCCCAGGCCACCAAGGAGAAGTGGCATGCTTTAGATTCAAATGTACAAAGTCTACTCGGAGATCGGGTGCCCTGTTCGTATCCTTCCTCCGGAAATGCCAAGGACCCAGAGCTTCCAAGTCATCCATTACTAGGTGAATTAGACTATGTATTGAAGAAGCCTACAAGACATTGGGGATTCTGGTTCCTTAAGGGATCAGGGCACGCTCAACGTGATCCCTGGTGACTTCATGGGCAGAAAGAACTAGTGCATCCATAGTGGAAACATGTAAGGCAACCACCTGATCAAGCACTGCAAGGTAGATTTCCTGTCCTCTGCAGAGGCGTCTTATTGCAGGAAGTTAGTGCAGGCCGTGATTGGGAAATGGTTTTTGCCTTTTGAACAAATGTTATAAATGAGAAGGGATGCCGTTTTCCTTTTCTTCCCACCTTCTCTATAACCTTCCCTATATCTGTTCATTGCTCTCTACTTCCCAGAACTTCAAGAACTGTGGAAGATGCTGGGCTGTAGAATGGAAATTTTTTTACTGATAATTTCTTTTATGCATCTTCCACAATTCTACCCACCCTAACTAGCTCAAGAGCCAAAAGGTCAGATGCTGAGTGGGATTTTTACCTTGTGACTTTTTTTTTTCCCCCTGTTGTGGTCCACTAAACTTCGTTGGTCAGTTACCCCTGAAGTATTTGTTACTAATATTGTTATACAAGTTTTTACAATTTTGAAATAACTCATCTGGCCACAAGTGGAAGCAGAGGGGGCATGGCCAGTGGGTGGCACCAAAATGCTAATCTACCTCCATGAGTTGCAAGAATGCCCAGAGCAGCCCAGACATCAAGAATTGTGGGAGATGCTGCTAGAAAAAGGGAAATTATCGGTAAGACATTTTCCGGTTCATTGACGCTGTCTTTATGATGAATGAGCTCTAAAGTATTTGAGCTTTAAAAAAAGAGTGCACTCTGAAAGTGTCAATAACCCTTTGTACGTTTGAAAGTGAAAACTTTTCTTACAACTGTTTTAATTCCACCATATGTCCGTGGGATATTACAGACTTATTTATATATTCAGATGATTGCAAGTTTTTAAAATACACATTACGTCTTAAGATATTTTTAAATAATTTGAGTGTAAGAAACCATGTTGTGATATTAACATTTTAATAGTGTCCCCTTCCCTCCCTTTCATATATTTGAGCGTACAAGATAGCTAGATGTAGCAGGAGTGGAAAGATGTAATCTGCAAAAAGAAGGAACATTGTGACTTTAAAATGATAGTTTTCTTCCAGAAAATTAAAAAGAGGCATTTTAAAATATTCGTACAACTTTTTGTGGCTCTCTATAGGTGTACATAAAATCTGAGCTATTGTATTTGGTTTTGGATAAGAAGTAGATTTTTACTTAGCATTCTAGGTGACAGATAAGTAATGAGTTTGGATGAAACTTGGCCTTTAAGTGGGTGCAGCCCAGTACAGTGAGTGGTAATGTGCTGGCTTTTATACCAAAGCTGCTCGAATATTATTCAAACAAATGTGAAAAGTTTATGTAAAGAACCTCCCTAGAGAAAGTTCTATCTGTTGTAAGTGGTTGATCTTTAAGGAGTAAGAGGATGGATTTCTAACTGTCTCCATGCTGGTTCTTGGGCTGAGTGCATCAGGACTTTGCTAAAGGAAGTTAAGCTCTCTCAACGCAAGTATGATAGGTTACGAATTAGAGAGAAAATAGCCTTGGATTTCTTTAAAGCGAGTTTTTTAGTGATTTTTATATTACGCTGTACATTTGAATACATCCAGGTGCATGTTAGTTTTCGGTAAAAGAAAATACGCAATATTGCAAGAGAGAAAATCTCTCATGTTGAGGGGATATTCTGCCTTTTATGCATGGAACTTGCATTAACACTAATTATTAGGAGTTATTCTTATGTTAATGGGAGCAATTCATACACATTTAGAGGTGATTATACTACAATAAAAGTAAAATAGATTTTTCTTTTCCTTAATACATTTGAAGTTAATTGCTGGAACATTATCAAATCAAGGGGATGCATCTGGGCGCTATTCCTTCCAAATTTCTGGCTTCAGAGCTTGGGATAGCAAATAGCCTTCAACTATACCAATCTGATTAGCAAGATACTTAACTTTTGCATTTGGTGCCAGATATGATGAAATCTTCTATCAGTTTCTTGGTTCTTAAATCTGGATGTTAGTTGAAGAGATGATTGAAGATGACGGAGAAAAGGGAGGGAGGAGAAATGGAACTGTACAAGTGCATAATGACAGTAAAAGTAGATCCAGGAATATTACCACAGCTGTAGGGCAGCTGTCTTAGATAGATGTGTGGCAAGATGACTGTGTGATCAGGACTGGACAGTGCTGGATGCTAGAGACCGGATACTAGAAAAGTTAGGGAGGAGAAAAGTATGCTATCCTGCTTAATTGAGACATTTGACTGTATATGTAGCGACTCCCCTGGAGATCCTCACATTTTGGAGGGCCAGCTAATAAATCACATCAATCTTTAACGCTAACAGACTAACAAATTCTGTATAAACTGTTTTTGATTTATTTATTTATTGGGCAACCTTGGAACACAGGATTTTCCCCATTTCACTGCATTTTACTTCCAGGGCCCTGAATTAATCTTCTTTCCTTCAGTGGAAGGAGAGGTGGGAATGGGATTATTCAAAGATGTGTGGATTATTGTATGGAAACAAAGAAAAACAATTTTTGTATACATAAGAACTTTTTTGCATTAAAAATTATTCTTCCATTTCTGGACTAACTTCTACTTTAAAATATTGCTTCCACTGCCAAAATTTAATAGTTTTAGTCCTTGTTAATTGAGGGATGTGCTTCAGTTGTGCACACTGAGCCATTACAGGCTAGATGAATAGGTCATCTGAACGTGGAGTCAAAATCTCCAGATTTCACAAAGCTGCAGATTATTTCTGAAGAACAGAGCCCACAGATAAGAATTAAAATATTATATCGTGCAAGTTGTTAATCTCGCATGTTGTTGGAAAATGAAGTATTTCTGGAGTGGAAGGCTTATTTAAAAATATTTTTATATTTACAGAGAATCAGGCATACAAATGTTTGTTTTTAAAAGTGTACACTGCTTTAAGGCTATTTATTTTTTAGAAAATATGACTTACATTAATATCTTTTTGACAAATATACACGATATTACTCTAACAAACTGCCATGCAACATGTATATTAAGTAATGAAGAAATTGAATATACAAGGCCTTATATATATAGAAAATTTACAGTCTAGCCAATATTTAAAAAGTTTCCCTTATTTGGCAGTATTTTCTACAGTTTGTTCATATATTTCCTCTTGGATGATTTGGTGAATACTTCACTGAAATCTAGTCAGTGACAACCTGAGGTACTAAACATTTCTGCCTTACTTCATTGTCTTCAAAAGTAATCTGTTTGTTCCTTTTAGGTTCTATCCATGAGTTATGTATTACAGCATTATTCGGCATGGGATCTGCTTCCACTATTGAAACGACTCGTTTTTTCATTTTACTTTTCAGGACCTTCTGAAATTTTTGCCTAGTGAATGCATAAAGTAGAGGGTGAAATATAGTTGTTCCGTATGCCATAACTAGAAAACATAATCTCAGCTTTACCAAAAGGTCACTTGGGCCCAGACATAAAATTGTAGTGTTTAAAACAGAAATGGGTGTCCAACAGAGAAGAAACGTTGAAATAATCAACAGGGACATTCTGAAGACTCTCTTTTGTCTTTCCCGTCGTTCACGATGTCGTTTTACAGCTCGCCGTAGGGCAATTATTACTGAAACTGAAGTCCTTACGCCAAAGACTACATTTCTCCCACCACTGCTTTGTGACACATCAGTAGTCTCGTGTTGTGTGGTCAAAGAAATAGTCTTTTTCTTTCTGGCTTTTTTCTTTTGCCCTGTTGTAAATCTTGTGCCTATTCGAATATTAAGAGCCTGGAGTATTTTGGTGTATGTAATTAGCATTACTATAACGGTGAAGAAAAATATTGGAATTTGTACTAGGAGATGGTAGTACATTCCCAGTTCAGTGTGGTATTCATTTACACTGACACACAAAAGAGTTTTATTTTCCCAAGTACTTGCACTTTGAAGACTGAAAAAATTGACTTCAATGAAGGGAATCAGGAAGGAGAAAAGAGAGACAATCCATATTGATGTCATTAACATCACAGCCCTTCCCAATGTCAGAATTCGATTTGCAGGTTTTACAGAGATATCATATCGGTCCAAAGTGATAGCAAAAACGTTGATTGCGGTCGCAACACTTGCAAAAGAAACACAAGCCTCATGGAAGCAGCAAATTAGAGCACTGTTACTCTCCAGTGAAAGCAGAAGGATAACTATAGTTAGAGGAATACATCCCACACAAATTATTACATCAAGTACATGAAGGTTCATTGTAATAATGTTACTGACAGAATTGATTAAGTTGGATTTCATGCAGTAAAGTACCAACACCGTGAGGTTGCTGCCAAGTCCCAACACAATTTCTAACATCAGAAATCCAGTGAGAGAAACTTGAAAGCTTAATGGATATGACAATGCTCGGTACATATTGGTGTTGATGTCATCAATGGCATCTCGAACTGTAATGTTAGATTCAGACTGCATGTTGCCTTCCAGAATGGGAGAGAAGCACATTCTTTTGTTGCAGTTGTTTTTGTCCTAAAAGGTGAGAGAAAATAGTTTTATATTTGATTCTGACACTTTTTTAAAATCATTTTAGATAAATACAGAAAAACGGGTATTTCATTCTATCAAAATCTAATCATTTATATATTTAGATCTGTGCATGATTTGGGCTAAGAAATCTGAGGATCTAGAACAACATCAACTTTTAAAACAAAACATGATTGTAAAAAAAATCCCAAAAACTTGTTAAAAGCCTTTGTTTACAGAAACAAGGCCTTGTTTATGATGTGGTTCTCACAAAGGACACGTGTGGTAGAACAAACTATACTAGTACATTGCGTTTTATCATGTCTAGGGCCATTTTAAAAGAATGTCCGTATGTATTTAAAACTTAGTACATAAAGTAATGTTAAAAAACCTTTTTAGGAAAAACGAGGTCAGAAAAATGAAGGGGAGTCGCTTATAAACCATTGAAATATCACTTAATAGATCTTCTCTTCCATAGGTTTGTTTACCTCCTTCTTTTGAAAACTTTTTTTGTAAAAATGCGATTGACAGAAGATTTGCAATTCCAGAGTTCATTGAAATTTTATAAAACTTTAAAATGTTTATACATTAAATTTTCTTTCAGAATTTTGTGTGTACATATATTATATACGTGTGCCTGCGTGCATATGTATATTTATATGTGCATGTATATTTTCATATTATAAGTCACTGTATATATAACTTCAACTGTAAAATTACATTTAAACTATTCAGCTGTAATGAAGTAGATTTTCAAAGCATCGCATTTCCATATGCTGATTTAAATATTTACTTCAGGAAATATAAATACTTTTACTATTAGCCACATTGGTGAAATACTATCTCTTTGATTTATGGACTTGTTTGTATCAGGAGTATTTAGTAACATATTTATATTTGTAATCTAATTAGATGATGGAATTAAGGAGACAGACACAACAGGATTGTTTGTATTATGTTTGTTTTTTACATCATGAAATGAAAGTTTATCTCTGCTTTGAGGCAATAAGGCTCAGTGATGTAGCATTAATCACTGCTGTGTGATTTTTTTTTTTTTTTTAATGTTATGGCCACACCTTCTGTGGCTTACAAATGCTAATAAATTGAAATTTAGTATCTGCTTAAGAGGCCTGCCATTGTACCATTTATGTTCTTAACCAGCGTATAAAACTAGCCATGGCTTTATAACAAAATTAATAAATAAAATAAACTACGGAAGGAAGGATTTTTTTTTTTCTTTTGGCGTGGTGGTACTTGGAATTTTGAGCACTTCCAAAATTAAAATGAAAATATATTTGGTATAAGGATTAATTTAAATGGAGACCATTGTTCTTCTCTAAATACAGTAAATGGAAGGCATTAAGGAGAATAAAAATGAGTTGCTTTTTTAATGCAAGTATGAATTATGCACACTCTAGATGTAATATGCAAATACATTTATCTACAGTTCTGAGAAGCCACAATAGTGCAGTACTGTTAATTGCAAACTTTTTATAATGAAGATTCTTTGTATGCATCAAGAGCTACTTTACATGCCTTTTTAAAAACAAAAAATTTGAATGAGCCTCAGGTGTGCAATGAAACAAGAAATATTTCAAAAGCTTTGTTCAACTTTCACTTTATGCAACCTCAAGAAAGTTTATAAATAGCTTCAGGACAGTACTATTTCCTCTGTGTATGTGGTCTTATTAGCTATGGATATATTACGGAAACGATTCCAAATGCGTTACTTGATAAATTGAATTCTCTTGAACTGGTAAAAGCCAGAAGAAGATTAGAGTCATTTCTGCTAAAACAAGCAATGGTCTTAACTGTAAGAATAAGCTAACTGAAAGCTCGTGAAAATGGAAAATTTTAAATGTGCCAGATTTTACTAACAAACAGATTAAGCATCAGGTCTTTGTCACATCAGATAGATTTGCAGTTAAATAAAAGCAGAAATGTCAAGATAGGAAGATAATTAACAAAATACATCTCAAGAACAGTGCTCTGTTCCCTTGTAAATGTCAAACAGAGGTTGGGTGCATGCAGCTTCTGACCTACCTGTTTTCTGTTGCCTCAAGGGCCTTTCAGCTCACTGTAGCAGCTTGTCATAAATTGATACATGGTGTCACTGACAGAATTTTGACATGCATTTCACCTGGCAGCTGAGTTGTAGCTGTGCTCTATTTCATCCCTTGCAGAATGTTTCCTTTTTTTTTTTTTTCCAACGCTTCAGGAGCACGATTTTGTGATTGAACAAAAGGACTTAATTTCCTGAAATATTTCTAGAGACCAGTGCATATTGTTTGTTCTGCTTTCTAAAGCCACCAATAAAAATAAAACTTCTTTTAAGTGACATTAAATTCTTTCCCCCTTTGCATCTCATGGCAGCTTATTTTTATTTTCCAGGATAAATGAAAATAAAAAGAGACATCCAATTTCTGGCTTCAAAAATATATTTAGGCATCCTTTAGTTACAATTGCACATTTGGTTTTATAATACTTCTCATTACTTTAGAGTGATGGCTTTGTCACATAAGTTGTTTTACATTGTAAAATCCAGTTCATGTGCTTTGCTGGAAACCATGGACTGCTTAATTTGGTTTATTTTCATTAAAGGAGAATACATAAAAGGTCATAAAATTCAGAGAAAAAATATCCATTAGTCATTATGACAAAGAAGTGACTTAATATGTAGTGTAGGAAAAGCTTGATTAAAGCCTTGTTTAGCTTGCTGATGAAGTATGCACATTCTCCTTTTGGGAATTCATGTTTCATTGTTTCTTCTTGAATCAGTAGTTTCCGTAAATCTGGTTTTAAATTATAAATCCCTTTTTAAGAAATGCTCACCATTTTGTTTTAGGAATAAACCATTATATTAATCTTCTTTTCATGAAAATATGAGCAGATGTGCTAATCTTCTATGTATATTGTTGAAGTGTTAAAGACTTACGTAGAAATAGAACCTGTTCCATGGTTTTATTCTAATTCCTTTATTTCTTAAGACTATATATTATAAGTACATCCTGCAGCTTGTAGATCAGACAGCTAGAAAGATGCCCAGTCAATTGCATTCTTCATATTGTCAGTAGTAAAACTGAATTAGATGCTGCATGCCCTTGTGAGGAAAAAGAGAAAAAAAAAAAAAAAGGTTAAAAATAGGGCTGCGTCTAATAATTTTTCAGTTAAGTTATTCAGGAATATATGTATAAGGTATCATTTGATTAAAATTATGCAATATGTGTAAATCAAAATGGATCTCTAAAATTGATTCCTATAGAAGATATATAAAATCAGTGAGCATATTTTCACTATTTCCTAATAAAATCTTTCCCTCTTTTTCATCTTATTAAAATTAAATATGTTGGATGGATTACATATTTTGCAAATATTAAATGTGGAGTTAAAAGCCAAGAGTTGAAGTAAAAATTACTGGGCAAAAAGATAGTATCTACTAATGCAGCTAGAAAATATGATTTTTACAGGTCTTGTGAGCAACTAGCTTACACGTACTATGTGTCCTCTTGCCTTCATATGACTAATTTAACTGACCCTCAGTTGCTTCATGGGGAATACATTTGTTTAATTTGCACATGGCCTTGAATTTCCTTGCTTTGAATATAAAATATTGTGCAAATAAATTTTTACAAGTACATTTCCATTGGGTGAAGTATGTAGATTATTTAAATGTTTTTAGGGTAACACAAAAGGTAGTTGCAAAAACTAACATTTCCCCCCCCCCATGAATAAGTCAGAGATTAGTCACGTAACTCAACCTTCAAAAAGCAATAAGTATACCAGAAAATGCAGACTATCTATGGTCTTTCAAGGAGTACTTGAATACATTCACAACATATGTGACTCAATATTTGGAAATGGTGTTGAGAAGAATCTTCTGACTGCATTAAGGATTTTTAGCAATACTGTTATAGCTTAAGCTGCACTGTTTTTACGTTATATGAACAAAACAGTTCTAAATATTCCACAATGTATCCTTAGAAAATAACATTTTTCAACAATTGTACTTTTTTAATGAAAAATATTAGTATTGTCAAGCAAGAAATACAAGATAAAAGCTCAATTTAAGTTGAACCTGACATCTTTTTTCCTTCAGATATGTTTGTTAAACACTGCTTTTGCTGAATATCATAATAAGGAACATATCTTACCTCCACTAAGGATTTGATCAGTTCTCGATGCAGATGAAGCAGTTCCGGTTTTGAGGGATTCATTTTGTTCACTTGTTAGCAGAGTACAGGGGAAAGAGGGTCATAAGCATCTCTTCAAAAAATGACCTTAATGAAAATTTGTGCCTGTGTTGTGCCATTGTTTCAGCATACTGCTAATGTATACAACATGTAGTGCTGCTTTAGAGGCTGCTGCAGTCTCCCACTCGTCCTATTGTAGAATCAATAAGCATCTGAAAATACATAATGAAAGTAATTTAACATACTGAAGGCTTCTTGTCTCCAGAGACAACATTTAGATTCAGCCTTTCTAAAAAGGAACAGCAATACTTCTCAGAGGAAAGCTTACTATGGACAGCTTTTGCAGAATGACAGCCTACCTTGTCGCTTCTCTTCACTGCAGAGAGATGCAGTGCATTCACTAATTTTGATTGGTCAGTGATGTTTGGCTTAAACTGTGCTTCATATATATGGGAGTGATTTTTTTTCTGTTTTATTTAAGGATTCTTTTGTAAAAAGGCTAAATTTACAAATGAATTGTGCATAATTCTGGAATATATTAGGCATATATGTTTTATTTTTACCATTTCTCTCTACTTTTGTTGATTGTACGATGTGTACCACATGACAAAACACTGGTGGAAAATTAGATGAAATGTATACTACTTTTAAAAGCCTCTAGCAATTTGTTTGAGTATGTCTTGTTATATATCCTGTCTCTGAGGTTCTTTGTTCTAAGACTACCTCTGATACAAAACTGCTGCATCTTTTCTGTGAACCATACTCAACCAGTATGTTTATATGCAGGTCAGCATTTAGATCTTTATATCTGAATAAATTATATTCAGGATAAGTAGACACCACATAAATATAATGATAATCTGAATTAGAATGCTCATAGAATGTTCATATTGTTTATTATGAGGGGGTAAAAATCCAATTTAGTTCATAATCTAAAGAGTGATTTTTCCAGATCCCATTACCATGTTCAGTACATGCACAGTTATGCAGTTTGACAACATAAATTAAATTTAAGGAAATACTAACCTATTTAAAAATGTTTGACTAATTTTTCTAAATGCACCATATGTTTTGTCAGTGTATATTTTGTTTCTTGCATTCCATACTCTTTCTACCTCTGTTCCTGAGCCCTTGACCTTCTGGAATTTTGTTTTATGTAGTCTTCACTTTTTAAATATTTAGATTTATAATTTATTTTGCTCTTCTATTCTGTTAGTATAGACAATGTTGTTAACATCCATACAATGAGGAGGAGAATAACCTAGTTCCTTATCTTCATAAATTAGGACTAATGCTAAAATTAATTTAGGATGTGAATTAAAGCTATGCAGCCTAAAATAATATTCAGTGGATATTGTCTTGTGATAACAGAGATAATTTAGGCATTTTTTTACTCTAAAATGATGTATTGCTATTAATGTTCCACATCAAAATGTTTTTGAATGATTCTGAATGTCTATAGATGTAATTCTTGAAAAAGTTGAAAAATTATCAAATGTTAAAATATAGCTATTGCATATAAGCTTTATCTGTTTAGCAGTTTTAATTGTATTTATTTTTGTAAAATTGCCGTACCATTGTTGTGTACATATATAAAAATACATTTGTGTAATTCAGATGTTTGCATTTAATTTTGTTTCAGATTAGCATCAGTGGTATTTATTTATTTTGATGTAGGCTGATGATGCAACTTTCTAATTTTCAAGTGGTCACATCTGTGGCACTTTAGGTAACTTGAACTCTTCCCCTTTTTCCTCTGGGCAAGATCATTCAGAAAATACTGAGGTGGACAAAGATTACAGTGGGACCCAGAGATTCTGCACAGCATCTTCTGTGACTTTGCCCCAGCTCCTTCTGACTTCTCTGGGCCTTGTTGACCATGAGAGTCTGATCACAAGTTCCGTCAGCATTGTTCTTGAACAGTTGCATATGACAGAACAGATTCTTGGAGTAGGTGAATTACATACAAAATACGTGCAAGAGATGTACTTGCTTCACTTACAGAAGAGTTCAGGGTGTGTTGGGGACCTGTTGTTGAGTTCAATAGATGAATTCCCATAGATACTCCAATTTCAACTCTCTTCCAGGAGAGGCTGGATAAAGATGTAAGATGTTGAGGGGATGGAGGCGTTTTAGCTGTAGGAATAGAGGGAGGGAGAGAGAGAGAGAGAGAGAGAGAGAAAAAAAATGGATTTTAGTTGTTATGGAGACAAAAACATCAGGATTTTGATGTAGCCTGGATGTGTGAGGCAAGGGAGGAGGAGGAGTCAAACGTGATCTCCAGGTTATGGGCCTGAGTGACAGAGGATGGTGGTGGTGGTGACAAAGCATTGGTGTAGTAGAGAGAGGTTGGGAGGGAAGATAAGGAGTTCAGCTTTGATCACATTAAGCTTAAATTAGGGCTGTTGATTAATCGCAGTTAACTCACACGATTAACTCAAAAAATTATTAATTATTTTAAAAATTAATCGTGATTAATCGCAGTGTTATTTGCACTGTCAAACAATGAATACCAATTGAAATTTATTAAATATTTTTGGATTTTTTTCTGCATTTTCAAATATATTGATTTCTAATACAACACAATACAAAGTGTACACTGCTCACTTTATATTATTTTTATTACAAATATTTGCACTGTAAAAATGATAAACAAAAGAAATAGTATTTTTCAATTCACTGTATACTGGTACTGTAGTGCAAACTCTTTATCGTGAAAGTGCAACTTACAAATGTCTATTTTTTGTTACATAACTGCACTCAAAAACAAAACAATGTGAAACTTTAGAATCTACAAGTACACTCCGTCCTACTACTTGTTCAGCCAGTCACTAAGACAGACAAGTTTGTTTACATTTATGGGAGATAGTGCTGCCCACTTCTTATTTAAAATG